CTATGGGTCCATCCATACTTATTCCCCCCTCCCCCATTTTACTTCAAGTTTTGGCCCCCCTCACAAAAAATTTCTGGCTCCGCCCCTGCCTACCAGAGAAGGAAAGGCCAACACCCCAGTGCAAAAACATGCCTCTAAAAGACATCATTCTAACCTCAAAAAACCGCTCCCCTAAAACACCAAATCTGGTGGATTTTTCCCTCACATTGTACTTACAACATTTCAGCCGTGCATTGGGAACATCTTTCCATAAACGAAAACATACAATATGGAGATATTCCTATTGAACGGCTACAAGTGTTGTGAGAGTGGTGTGAAAACCAATTTTATGAGGACAACCTTCAAGTTGTTGGGTGATCCCACTCCTTCCACCACTAAGACACAACCATCAATGGCAGCACTTTGCACTACAGCATTCCCTCATCTATCCTAATAGAAGCACCAACACCTGCAGTGGGATCACAAACTGCCATCTTGTCAATTAAGGCCGTAAGTTGGGCTGGGTTAGGTCAGGTTGAGGCTAACCTTAGCCCAATCCTAAGTTCTAAACCCCTAATCCTAACTAAATTCCTTCAACCCTAACCCAACCTTCTATCCATCCCTTAAAATCTCGTAAAACTTCTCAATCTCATATCTTAACTCAACTTTCGTTACATATATTAATCTTGTGTTTCATTACTATTTGTTTGTTGGCGTTTTTATTGGTTCTTTTAGTACAAATTTCAGAAAAAAGATAAGTGTCTAAAATGACTATAGTTTATTATGAATTATGACTTATGATAGATCTTTTGTGGGTGGAAAACAATAGAGAGGAGATGAAGAATGAAATATTCAAAAAACATAAAATATGTTAAGGTTTTAGTCTTTCCAATTAGGATTAAGTGAAGTGATTATCTTAAAAGAAATACATGATAGTATGTGGTAGGGGCTATACAACTATCATGCATCTAAGCAATAAAGACAACCTAAACCTTTGGATTATTGACTATGAAGATAAAATTACTAAATTACCCATTCATGATTTTATGGTCTGGGAGAAAAATCTATTAAAACGATGAAAATGGGCATATGCTACAACACAATATCTCTTTTGAGCAAATGAGATTTGTTGCCCAGTATTCTCAACCCACACTCTACCCGTCTTGAATTGTAGCCACACATCACCATCTTTTATTGTGAGATGTGCGACTGCACTGTACTATAAATAGGGTGCCAGTAGAGAAAGTGAGTAGGAAATTTGGGTTCTCTTTTGAGTTGGGTTATTGTATTTATTCTTTAAAAGGGTTTGGAATCACAACCCAATCCAAAAGAGATATTGTGCTTTACTATGCCCATTTGCATCATTTTGAAAGCTTTTTCTCTCAACCCATTAAATCTAGAATGTAGAATGAGCAACTTTGTTATTTTACCTTCATCATTAACTCCATTTAGAGTAGGGGCCCACAAAGTGCTAAAACCCCAAGTTCAAGGGGCCTTTGTTGCAAGCATTTTAGCTTTTAAATCTTCAGGGAGACAACTCTTGCACACAATCATCACTTATTAAATAATTTGAGTTATTTCAATTAAATCTATGTGTTGGGTTCAGAATTAACCACTTACCTATTGCACATAATTTTACTGAAAAACACATAAATACTGAACTATTTAATAATGATATAAAAATATAGAAATTCCACAAAAAAACATACAGTAGGTGAAAAATATGGATGTTCAAAGATACGAAATAAAAAATACAGAAACACTTTGGTTTTTATTTTAACCAAACTTTTCACAGTACCACATTTCTTTGACAGGATTTCTTAGTGTTTTTCATTTTCAAAGCCAAATTATACACCAACTTTTTCCATCTATGTTAATTATGTGCTGTACACGCGTATTTAGTAACCATATGGAACTGCACCTCTAATGAAGACATACATGAATGCATGAAAGAAAGAAGATTCATGAGATGTCTTTCTAATATGAAAAGTTGGTCACTACGATTCCTCCAGTTATGACTTGTCTGTGGGATCTGTTCCCGTCCCATCTTTTTCTCCATTTCTTTGAATAGGTCTAAGGTCGGGTTTCCTTGATAAAACATCAAACAACTTGCGAGCCAAAACATTAATGGCTTCAGATTGTGGTTCCCACAATGCATGGTGTTTGAATTACTGCCATCATAATAAATGATTTGGTAGGAAACAGTGTTGACCAATGACTTTCTGAAACTTATATGTTGATAGCAACCATTATTGTAGCAGAAAGGAAAAGGCAAAACAAAAAAACGCAAAAAAAAAAAATGCAACCATTGCTTTCATAATGTCAGTTATAATTAAGTTGTTTGCTGCAAGATCTATCTTAAAGACCATCAGGTGCGCATCAAATAATTTTAAAATGACAAAATTACCCTTTGTGATATTTTTCTGACCATTTTAGTTGGTTTGTTTGAGTGTTAAAAGAAGGAAAGGAGAACGGTTATGAAACTAGACAAGTGATCATCCGATTACAGTTGATTGTTGAACAGGCCGAGGAACTTGAAAAGGGGAGCAGGAGCTTCAACAGTTGATTGCTGACCGGTTTCATAATCCATCTTTCCTTTTTATTCTTCTAACACTCAAACAAAATGGGTAAATAGTCAAAAAATATCATAAAGGGTATTTTTGCCATTTTGAAATTATTTAATGTGCACTTAATGTCACATAGCGGTGTTGACTAATTGTAGGGACCTATTAGACACAATTTGAAAATTCAGGGTACTATAGAGATACGTTTTAAAATTTGGGGACTGACTTGACATAACCCTAAAAGTTCAGGGTACTATTCAGGAATTTTCCCTTAATTGTTTTACAATTCCAATTATAATATGGGCCATGGGTCTTTACCTAATTAAAAAGAGGGTTTTTTATATAATTTTTTATCCCCTTCCTTTAATAACACTAAGGCCCCGCAGTAAATTACTTACCTGAAATGTAATTACTTGGGTAAGTTTTTCCTAGGGAACACTTACTCAGGTATGTGCATTTACCCATGTTCTTTTATTTTTCATGTAAATAAGGCAATGACCATTTTAACTATAGAAAAGAGGTATTTTTGTCTCATTCAAGTGTTGGCAACTTCCCCCCTATGTGGGAAAGTTATTTATCCACGTAGGAGATAGGTATCACTTTCCTAGGTAAGTAATACCCAAGAAAATAAACTTTCCCTCGTTCTCACATAAAACTAAAAAAAGAACCAGGGATTCTTTGTCAATGGGAACCAAAATCCTATTGACCAACTTCCCCCCTCTCCAAATCCAAAAAAAAGAACACCCCCTAAGATTTCTTGATTCATCATGCTCAGAAATCTAATATTTCTTTATTTTGTTTTATTTATTTAAGAAAAAATGTAATCAAATAATCTGTTAAGACCGTGGTGAAAGTTATTTTCCCATCAGTAATTAATAGAAGCAAGAGCTGTTATCAACAACTACACCTTCAGACATTAAGGAGCTTAAAATTAAACCTCATTAAAAAACTTATTCACCAAAAGACAAAGTAATTGGCTTTCGGTTCAGCCGCTTCAGCTGTTATCAACAGCTAATAAGAAGCTAGATAATATTCCTTTTGGGTGGTAAAAGGATAATATTCTGTACTTGGCAAAGTCGCTTCTGCGTTGGTTGAGCTGCCTTGATCGAGCCACCTTGGAGAAAATATGTGAGATAGGTTAAAGTGGATTTTGCAGCATATCTAAATGTAATATAATTCCAACTTTGGGTGAAAACCCTCCCAAATGGGCATTTAATCTCTCTCTCTCTCAAATGAAATGAGAAGAAAAACAACAAAACAGCACTGGCTCTTTGAAGAACTCACTGGTAGGTTAGAAACAAATCATGGAGAGCACCAGAGTAACAGACATCTTTTATGAAATCATTCATTTGCTCTATTAGAAACCTTTTTTTTTTTATTACCATGTCTCATCAGGATTTTCGATCAAAACAAGCACTAACATCTCTCTCTCCCCCACTGTTCTGCCAGTATCCTCTCGATCTCGCTTGGTCTGCAAGGAATGGTGAGTGCACCCTCCTGATCGAAACCAAACTCCTCCGCTGCCTGCTCTAACAGCCTGAGAAATGCTGGATGCGTCAGATAATTCAGCGCAACAACAAACCTTTTGGGCTCACCATCATCAACTGCAATCACTGCGAAGTGGCCTTCCTTGACGTCTTCTGGCACTGAATATTGTGCAGACTCGTCACTGATCTCTGCTTCTGTTTCGTCTGAATCGTAACTCAGCAGTCTCCTAGTCAGGGAGAGACTCTTCTGTAGCATCTCTACCACCACCTTGAGGTTTACAACGCCATTGCTTCTGCGCTTAGCCATGGCAAATGGTTCTCTATGTCGGTCTTGTGAATACAAACTTGGGCTAGCTTGCTTCATATATAGTGTCTAGAGGCCCTCTGTACACTAACATCCAAACAGAGGTGGACGTCTGTTAGAATTAACGAAGTCAGAGCTATGAAGTTGTATCGAAAAAGGAGATGAGTGGTGACAAATAATTGAAGTAGCTAGATTTTGGGAAACTATTACATTTTGAGTTTGACCCAGCTAGACGCAGAAGTAGCCAGAGAGACCATTGCATGTGATTGAGTCCTCCTCGCCTTGATACGTCCCTTTTTCCTCGTCACTTGGGTATCCACGTTATCAATGTTGTAGATATTGGCAAAGAGATAATCCGTTTAATTTCACATTTTTAGTATTACAATGGTGAATCTTTATCTACTAAGCACAACTCAACTCGGCGGGAATAGAAAATATAGTTTAGGTGAAGGATAATTGATACTTCTTTTTACATGTCTTAAATCAAATAATTGAAAAGTTTGCTCCTTGTTCATGTTATTTTATTTATTTTTTGTTTATATATAGCAAGAGATAATAGAAAATTAGATGCAAGTTCTAAACTCAACCTGCCCTATAGTGGGGAGGGTATGGTCTGGGAGGGTTTTGCATTTTCATATATGGGGGGGTGTTGGATTCTCAAAATCCAATCCACTATAGGTTTTGGGGCAAATAAGTACGGATTGGGAGGGTTAGGGTGGCAGGTGGGGTATAGAATTTACAAAACCCTCTCTGAACCCATCTCGTTGCCATCCCTACACTCAATGAGCACTCAATAAATATCTGATAGTTATATCAAAAATTGTTTTTCATCTTTTTAAGGGTAAATTAGGAGCAATTTAAGGGTAAATCAAATTTTGCCTTCACAAATTTGGTCTTTACACTGTCTTCACAACACTTGTAACCGTGCATTGGGAATTCTCCGTGTTTGTATATTTTTATTCATGGGAAGACGTTCCAAATGCACATACAAAGTGTTAAGATGATAGTGCAAGGACCAATTTTGTGAAGATGAAAATAGAATTGGGACAGAAGTTAGAAAATTTAGTAAGTCCTTACTTAATTAGTACTCACTGTGTGTGCCTACCTCCTCTTGACTTCACAATGGGAAGAGGGAAAGATTCGTTGTGTATAAGATTGTGCATCACGATTAATTCCCCAACGATGACGAGGAACAACATTGTGTTATTAAGATGAAATTAATAATGTATGTAATTATATTAGCTTCTGTATATCATAGTTTAAATGCCTAGTGCATTATCTATCTATCTATGTTATTATAAAGCGGATATTTGCCTTAGTTTTTTTTTTATGCAGAATATTAAAAGTTAAATTTGATTCTACAATGTTAATTTACCTACACACATGCGTAACACATACCTCACACTAGTACTATATAAAACAGATACTTGACTTATTAGATCCAAATTAAATATCATATATCATATATGACCATTGATTTTTCCTCAGCTCTAATAAGTTAATGACATCCATACCCCACCCTTGAATTGACAGTCCAACCCACCTAGCATCAAGCTAGCCCTAAGATCAAGTATTGATTTCTGATTTGTAGTTATATATAGGAGATTCCATAATCATTGTCACATGAGATTCAATCATTCAAATTAATTTGATAAGGGCAAATGCCAGTACGTGGAAGCTTATGATATGAGAACGAATTGTGACCACACAACTCCCTTGTATTGATATGCATTTCCCATTATAACACTGAAGTTGCTGAATTGAACTATTTATTACTTTGTTTTTTAGTGGATAAAATATTTAAGGATATTTATACTAATTGATCCACCCAACTTCAGCTTCAACCATTAAGGATTGGACAACATCCTTGAAAACCCATTCATTATAATGAACAAAGCATTCAGTCCCTGCTGTTATCAAACGGCTTCCTAAGATTTATATAGGCATTTTTTGAGTTATCATATCAATTACAGAAGAAAGAGAGATGTACCTTTTTGTACATGTTCAGATCTCTTATCCACAGCTATCATACAGGACACTAACAGCTAACATTTCCTGTATTTACATGTTATCATTCATAGAGGAGATCGATGTTCTCAATGTACAACTGTAGTGTCATATACATAAGATTCTTGTGGATAAAAGATCCAGATTATTGTACCTCACATGTACCATACATAACAGTTCCTAAGACCTACATGGAAGGTCTTCCCTAATACAATTAAGCTCATTTAATTTTGAGATTGATGAGTTTAATTTGGTTTTGAAGTCTCCAACTAATCCACATATCCACCTCTCAGCCTCATGGTTGTCTTGGATTTTCTTTTGTTTTTTTTCAAGTCTCTCAGGTCTAATTATAAACCCTATCAATTTTAGCTTAAAAGCATTATCCTATCTTTTAAAATAACCAGTCTCTCTCTCTCTCTATCTACCTGTGGGGGTTTGTGCTAGTGCACATAAGCAGCTAAAGTACTGCTGTGTACACCACTCAGTTGTAGAACTATCTGGAATGTGTGTGCCACTGCACCATGAATTTAATCAAAACCTCCGTGCCATATTTACATTCTACGGAAGTTGCAGTGAAATCAAAGTGGCAAAATTTGTGGATAGAAATGAAGCTTTTCTGTGCCATACGTACACTTTTCCATGGAAACTGCAATTAAATCAAAGTATACACAATTGATCATTTTGTGGGTAGAAATTATAAACATTGAAGAAGATTGCATGATGAGATTTTCATTGAACTGAATAGGTTAAATACTGATATGTATTTGCATATAACAAAGCAAAATGTAGTCTAAAACTATAAATGTTGTATTTCTTTTATACAAAATAACATTTATAGACTAAGCTAGTGCACAATAGCCTCAAAGTGCAACTTTTACAGCCTGAACGTACAAGATTTAAAGCCTTCACAATGTCTAATTTCATGGTATGTGTGTAGAAAATGCTTAATTTAACAAAATTCGATCATGGGTTAGTATCTATTAAAGTTTCTTTTTAATTTCCTTGGTTGTTATTAGGGTTCGTTCCTGTGGCCGCATTAAATGGACAAACATGGACATATCACTATGGAGTGGGACTCTTTCAGGTACAATTTGAAAGAAAAACATCCCAACGACTAGTCACCTTCAAATGCGAACTCTTTCTGGCGTTATTTCAAGGGTGACGGTGAAAACTGTGAATCTTGGTCGGAACTGCCCTGACCCTCCTGAATGATAACGGGACGTCATACATGAGAGAGAGAGAGAAAAAGAGAGAGGGATATTGAGAAACCCCTTTACGTAGTATGGCCCTATTAGTATAGCTCAATTAACATGGTACTTGGCAAAATCGTGCACTGAAGTGAAAGTACTTCAAAATACTGTCAACGTAGTATGGCCCTAATTATCTTTTCCCTCCCTTGATGATGAGGCTCCTTTGCAAGAAATATATAGGTGTAATGTGGGTCATGCTAGGCCTACTTTTGTGGGTCAGGTCAGAACGTGCGGGCCGGGTGAACCGTTCCTACCTGGCCTAAAACCCTTTGAAAGGGAAGCCCAGAACAGCCTGCAGCATGAGCCCAAACAGGCCTGTGCTTTGTCGGGTCGGGGGTGGTGTGAATTTTTCAAATTAAAATAAAATAATAATAATAATAATAAATTAACAAGATAGACAAAAAAATGAAAAAAGTTATAATAATTAGAATAAAATAGTATAATAAAAGTATATATACGTGTGTGTGTCATGCCGGCCTGGCATGGCCCAGGGGTATTGGCCGGATTGCAGCACAGTTCACTTTACAGCGCAAATACAAACTTATTGGCTAATGAGGCTCCAACTTTATAACCTCAGCTCCCATAATAAAATGAGAGGTTGATGTATTTCTATACTTTTTATAGAATGAGCAGATCCCATATGACCTGTTTACTTTCTTACCAAATGGTTTCTGGCTTTTGATGGATGCAAACAAGAATTCCAAGACTGAATTTTATTTTTGCTTTCTTACATTGAACAACTTTAAATGTATGTAAAGCTTCTATCCATTTTTTGGGATGCAAACTTTACTCTTATTTTAAATGCAAACATGTCTTAGAATTTATGATAACTATCTATACAAATGTATTCTTATCAAATGCAACCAGAGAACATATATGTATGTGTTCGGATCATGGCTGAGCTGGTCCTGAGAAATACGTGGCCGCCCAGTTATCACCCGGTCAGCCTAGACATATCGGCATAGCTCGGTCAAACTACGCTACTATTATGCCCCCCCCCCTCTTATCCTCTCAGTCACATCAGCTACACGTCACGCAGATAAACACTATGGATAAGAGGAGAGACGAAGACAACTCCACTGAGGAATAAGACTCTACCCCGAAGACCTCGGTGGTCAATCTCATCCCAATAACCTCGGAAGCCCAATCCGACCAAGACACGGGTCTTCGGCTATAAAGAGGCGGTCCCCACTCAAGGTAAGGGATTCCAACTTCTAACACCCATACTTTCCCTTTGCTCAGCCCAGCATTCCCATTGCTCGGCTTGACCTTCTACTACCTCCTACTGACTTGAGCATCAAAGTACCTACCCGAGGATAACTCCTTAGGCCTCTGACATCTTTCTTGATCATAGGTCTTGAAGCACAGTTCTGTCCTTCCACCTCAGCTCCGCCCTGTTGGCAAAGACTATCTGGTTGCTCTCCTTATTTCGTGCACCACCTCGGATTGGCACTGCCTGTGGGAAACGCACAAAAAGCCTTTCCTGGAAACCTTTCCTTCCTCTCCGCGCAATCAAGAAAGCGATCAAGATGCCCAAAAACCAGTTCGAACGATCAATAGGTCGGTCCCATCTCGGGAATCTCAACGTCGTAGCCCTCCACACCAAGAAACTCAGCAACACCCAACCACGGTCAAGCCTGCGCAATTCCAAGCAATGCAAGAGAAGGTCGACAAGATCTTCGAGTTGATACAGAACCTAGGATCCGCGGCACCACCCAACAAGGCCACTCCACCTCATGTCCCGACGCGTA